TCCTCGTGCAGGCTGCCCTGTAAGAACGTTGTGCTGAAGTCAAGAGAGTGAAGCTCATAGTCACGCTGAGCGGCAACGTGCAGCAACACCTGAAGAGTGGTCATCATTGGGGAGGTAGGGGAGAAGGTCTGGAAGAAGTCAACTCCCTGTCGCTGACTAAAGCCTCGTGCAACGTAACGAGCCTTGAAGACAGGCGGAGAACCCGGCGGTCGCTTCACCCTGAAAATCCACATGCCATCGACTATGTTCGCCCCAGGAGGGGGAACTGCGTCAACGTAAGTGCCTGTGGACTTTTAGGATGCCATCTTTTCGTCCATGGCTGTCGGCCACAGACAGGAGTAGGGACCTGTAATCGCCTCTGCATAGAAGCTCGGGGTTGGGGAACACGTTGAGCACGGCGAACATTGCGAACATGGGAGGTAGGACACGACGCAGGCTCACGACGCTCTGTAAGGGAGGCTGGCTGCTCAGTGTAACGAGGGGGGGCAGGCAGCGGTGAGTCTGGAGGAAGGGCAGTGGACGAAGGAAGACTAAGAACCTCACAGAGCGCCAAGGAAGGTGGTAGCAGTGACGGCAGCAGCGGCAACAAGAAAACTGTCGACGCTACACAGTGCCTCCAGCACCAGTACCGCCAGCTCCAGTGCCTCCAGCGTGAACACCTCCAGCTCCAGGGTCTCTAGCACCAGCGCTGCCAGCTCCAGGGCCTGCAGCTCTAGCGCCTCCAGCTCCAGCGCCTCCAGCTCCAGCGCCTCCAGCTCCAGCGCCTTCAGCTCGAGGGCCTCCAGCTCCAACGCCTCCATGGCCTCCAGCGTTAGTGCCTCTAGCTCCAACATCGCCACTCCGAAGGCGAGTACGCTGAGCAAACCACTCGCGCAGCTGCTGTGGTGAGAGAGGCTCCCGCCGGCTAGACCGCTGCGGCGAGGCACCCGTAGGACCTCCAGCAGACGCAGCACCCCTAGGCTCAGCACCCCCAGGCTCCCCAGCCCTAGACTCAGCACCCCCAGGCTCCGCACCCTCAGGCTCAGCACCCTTAGACTCAGCACCCTCAGGCTCAGCACCCCCAGGCTCCGCACCCTCAGGCTCAGCACCCCCGGGTTCAACACCCTCAGCCTCAGCACCCCCTGACTCAGCACCCCTAGCAGCACCACCTCCACCACCAATAGAGTCGACAGCAACCGGCTGCAGAGGCGGCGAAGACGGTCGAGGTGGAAAACCCGGAGGGGTCTCCAAGCGTGGTGAGCGGCGGGGTGCGGCCGCGTCGTCAGCAGCAACGTCACCCCCCTCAGCTGGGCCAGAGGTGTCGGAAGTGACCTCGAACGGCTCAGCCAAGGGGAGTGGGTCTACCTGAGACACACCTGAAGGAGCAGGACCCTGAGGGGGGAGGGGGTCTACCGGAGGGGGACCTGAAACGAGGAAGAGTGGCAGGGGGGGGAGAGGGGCAGTGCGGTAGGGGAAGAGACGGTAAAAGGGAACCGACTCGTCAAACGTGACGTTCTGAGAGGACAGAACACGACACGTGGTGGGGTGGTAAGACTGCCAGCTAGGAGCGTCAGTGGGGGACAAAGCCAAGGAAGACACAAGGAACAGCGCGAGAGGAGAGCTTGTCCGCGGTGGTATCGCGGACAAAGGCATGAGAGCCCCAGACCCGGAACACCAACACATCGCCAACCTCCCTTGTCCAACGCAGTGTAGGCAAAGTCTCCGGCAAGGAGACACGAGGCCAGAGGTTGAGCTGATGCGCAGTGTACCGGACCGCAAACGGCCACAGAAAATGGGGAGCAGCCGCATGGATCATGGAGGTACGAGCCACCTCCATGACTAAGCCAATGCGGCGCTCAGCAATCCCATTCTGCTGCGGGGAGGCCGGAAGCGGTAACGACTGGAGGATGCCCTCGCCACGACAAAAGTCCCGTAGGAGGTGGAAGGTGAACTCACCACCTCTGTCAGAGTGCAGACGTAGGACGGGAAAGTCCTGGCGGAACCGCTCGCGATGCTGGAGACGGACAGCGCGGATCCAAGGGATCAAGACATCAGGGACCTCCCCCTTGCTGTGCAAGGGGAAGACCGTGATGTAACGCGAGTAGTCGTCAACAACCAGCAGAAAGTATCGCTCGCGGTCCTGTCCATTGACGCGGGCTGGGCCCCACACGTCCATATGGAGAGTCTGCAGGGGAGTTGTCGTCGGAGAAACAAGGAGGAGTGAGGAGCGGCACGCTGCCGCCCCTCGACGCAGGGAAGGCAGGGTGGCGCAGGCGAGGGCGGGAGGGGAGGCAGAGACCTGGGAAGACCAGAGACAAGGAGGCGGGAGTGCATGCCACGAAGGCGTGGCAGGGAGGGGTGACCAAGGCGGTGGTGCCAAAGGAGAGTCTGGTGCGTGAGGAGGTGATACAAACAGGGGGCTGCTACCTGACCTGACGCGGACACCTGACCAGACGCAGCCACCTGAGTAGGCTTAGTAGTCAGTGTGTACAGGCTCGACCCTGGCCGACGGGTGAACGTGGCCAGGTGACGGCCCGTCCGTGCACACGTGCAGATCGACACACGCTGACCCCCAGGAGTGGTGGTAGTGACCATCGCATCCTGGAGGGCAGCGGTACTCACCAAGTTCGTAGAGAACGAGGGGAGGTGAAGACCTGAGAGTGAGCCAGACGGAACCGTTGGACAAGGGAGAACAGTGGAGGAACGTGCAAGAACTGGGCCCCCTGAGGGGTCAGCCAGAGAGACTGCAACAGGTGCAGGGAGTGGTGTGACTGTGGTACTGTCGCGAAAGAAGCAGCGCACCTGCAAGTCCTTAGCAAGCAGAGTACCAGAGGGAGTAGACGCACTAGCACCTAGAGCAGCAGCCTCTATACCTGGGTCGGGCGGCACACACAGGTAACAGTCACCCTCAGCACTAACAGTCAAAGCATACATGCCAGCAAGGATAGCGTCATAGTCAAGAGCAAATATATCCACATCGTTCCTAAGCAGCTCTAGCCAGCGGGGGAGCTCAGCCTCGTCGCCAAACTCTGCGCGCCAGGCGTCGTCAAGACGGGAGAAGCAGCGGTACTGTGTGTGACCAACCTTCCCGCATGTCTGACCAGCCCGATCACCTGTGCAAATGAAGTACAGGCAGCGAACACTACCCCCAGACGCCCCACACTGAGCAAACCACTCACAAAGCTGCTGGGGTGAAGGGGTCTTGCGCGGACGCTGCTGCTGCTGCCTCTGGCCACCGCCAGAACCTCCCCTCTGAACAGCTCCACCCCAACCACCACCACTGCCACTGCCGCCACCACCGCCACCACCACTCCCACCGCTGCCGCCACCACTCCCCCACTCCCGCCACCACTCCCACCGCCACCTCCGCCACCTCCACCGCCTCCACCGCCTCCACCACCACCCCCCCCGCTGCCACCTCCACCACTCTTGCCCCCCTTGCCCTTTCCGCTACGGCGCTTCCCACTAGGAGCAGAAGCAGCGCCGACCTCCTCAGCCCTGGGGGCTTGTCTAGAAACTGGGCTTCAAGCGCTGCACGGTAGCGAGTGTCGCTAGTGCGAAGGTGGGTGATGAGGTCGGCGACTGTGGGAAAGTCTGACTGCTCGGAAAAGAGGTAGGGCACTTGGGAAGCCCGCAGGGCAGGGCGGGGCGGCGCGTTTCCAGGGAAGGGCGGCGCGCGGCCAGGGCAGGGCGGCGCGCGGGCACTGGGGCGTCGCGCGGGCACTGGGGTGGCGCGCGGGCACTGGGGCGGCGCGCGGGCCCTTGGGTGACGCGACGGGCAGGGGAGGGCGGCGCGCGGGCCCTAGGGTGACGCGACGGGCAGGGGAGGGCGGCGCGCGGCGGGTAGGGGAGGATGGCGCGCGGCCAGCAGGGCGGCACGACGGGCAGGGCAGGGCGGCGCGACAGCCAGCAGGGCGGCGCGCGGGCAGGGGAGAGCGGCGCGCGGCCAGCAGGGCGGCGCGACGGGCAGGGCAGGGCGGTGTGACAGCCAGCAGGGCGGCGCGCGTCAGGGCATGGCAGCGCGACGGGCAGGGTAGGGTGCTACGGGCAGGGTAACGCGCTACGGGCAGGGAACTATTTGGTGGGCCCTAAAAAAAAACGGTCCTGGAACAGGACCTGCTCTGAAACCATGTCAGAATACAGAACAAGAATGACTTGCATTGAGAGAAAGATGGGTACAAGTACTAACCCTAAATTGGGTTGTACCCCTTATGGGCTACCCCACTACAGCCTACACAACATAAGCATTATAATGTTCTGACAATCCCCACTAACGAGAGTCGTACAGTAGTGAATTGTATGTTCGTTTCATGTACTGAATGCAATTACAACCATAAAAATAAATATCACGCGATTCCTCAGGAAGGAACTTCGTTGCAATCCCGCAATTGCGGTATAGCGTCAGATCGTTAAAAACAGAACAGTTATAATAACGATTTGTAAAAAATGGTGTCATCCCACTTATCATGTTTTCCCCTCTATGAGGGTAGGTAACAAAAAAAATACCGTCATCGCCCGGATATAAGACATATATGTCTTATCTCGTACACGGGCAAAAATGCTTGGGTTATCTTGTATTTGGGACGGTTTAGGGTGTCTTATAAGTCTTATAAATGGACAAAGAACCGTTTAGAAGATACCCCCTCGTTATACAATTGCCCCTAACCCCTACACTTGCCTAACCCGTACACAGAAATAGGTGTCTTATAATAAGGCTAGCCTGTTTATAAGAGACACCCGTATAATAGACAACCCTTGTCTACTATTCAACACTGTCTTATATCCGGGCGATGACGGTACTACCAAACCAAATAGACTCACTCAGGTAATAACTTCAATTCACTGGCCGAACTGGATAGAACGGGATTGAATCCAACAATGGCTTCCAATTTCCAAATCGAATGGGAGGGGCACAGCAGCGGGGTCCATCCAGTGCTTCTCCCTTTTCCGGGCTTTTTTACTGCCACTGCATATCCAACCGACCGTTAATCCTAGGAGTGTGAGCCTTAGGAGTGGGAGGCCTAGGGGGAGTGGGAGGCGACCCAGTGGTAGAGCAGGCTGGCACCGAAGCCAGTGCCTCCGCCCTTCTTCTCACTCCACACCGGCCCTGCAATGTCCAGATGCGCCCATGGCAGCCCCTCCGCCACAAACTGGTGGGGGGGAGTGGCGGCAGGGAGTGGGGGCGTGGAGTGGTGGCAAAACAGCATACAGAGGGGAAGGAGATGAGAGGAGAGGTGGGAGGAGAGTAAATTCACCTCACATCGCAATCCACACAAATCCTACTGCTTCAAGACTAGCCCGGAGAGAGACAGGAAGAGGAGAGGAGCTGCTGCAACACTGACTGCCACAGAGTGATTCATGTCAGTGGGCAATGAAGATGTGGCACAGAACAACCACGCTCTCCCCCTCACGTCCCCTCGAAAGCTACCGCTCAACAAGTGCGTGAAAAACAAGGGCTGTGCTTTCTTAACCTCCTCCATTCTCCACGCACCTGCTTGAGGAAGAGCGCGGCAGTGATGGAGCCGCCCTCACGGCCGCCGGTGTTGAGCATGTCGGCATGCTTGCTGCGCATGCCCTCCCAGTACGCCTCCTCCATGGGCATGCGCCACACCTTGTCGCCACACACCTTGGAGGAAGCTTCCAGCTCCGCTGACAGCTCATCGCTCGGGGTGAACAGACCTGGGGTGGTGGGAGGGAAGCAGAGGGTGGTGATTGGGTGTGGGAGGGGTTGAATGAGAGAGGGATGTAAACATGGGTACGGATGGATGCGTGTGAGGCGTATGAATGATGGATGCGTGTGAGGCGTATGAATGATGGATGTGTGTGAGGCGTATGAATGATGGATGTGTGTGAGGCGTATGAATGATGGATGTGTGTGAGGCGTATGAATGATGGATGTGTGTGAGGCGTATGAATGATGGATGTGTGTGAGGCGTATGAATGATGGATGTGTGTGAGGGGTATGAATGATGGATGTGTGTGAGGCGTATGAATGATGGATGTGTGTGAGGCGTATGAATGATGGATGTGTGTGAGGCGTATGAATGATTCTATACAGATACAAACGGGCACCAACCACCTGGAGCAGTACCAATCACGCACCTCCCTCTCCCCTAAGGCAATGGGACAAGTTAGCGTAAAGCACACAGGTGCACGCATGTCATATCATCATAATAACAGGATGGCATGGCTCGTGGCCAATGTGCAACAGCAATGCACATCGATGTCTATGGCACACCAGCAGTATCAATCCGATGCAATATAAGCTTTGTCAAGCACGTACCAGCGATGTCATTCCCGAGGGCAATGATGCAGGCGCCAGTGAGGGTGGCGACATCAACGATCTTCTCAACGCCCTGCTGCTGCGCGTACAGCAGCGCATCCGCCAGTGTCAGCCGCCCCTCCGCGTCCGTGTTGTTCACCTGTGAGAAGGATGGGCACAGGGGAAGGAGGGATGTGACGAGGGAGTGCGGGTTTCAGAGGGAGCGCCAGTACTCTTTGACAATGTATGCCATGCTTACTTGAGAGGGTCTGCTGACAACAGCTGACAATGTCATCTTACCTTCCCTCCCACGAACAGCGGGGCATAGGCTGGTTCTTTGAACCAGATCTTGCTGATCTTTGCAGCTGATGCACGATTTACCAACCAGCTTAACATGCAATCATGGAAAAGTAAAAAACAAACAAACAAACAAACCTTACCATACGTCAACGTTGTTGCCTCACCTCGATGGTTTTGCCGTTGGAGGCAGTGATGATGTCTCCCGGCTTCATGCCACTGCCACTAACCATGTTCTCACACGCTGCTATGATGAAATGCACCTGCAGTTGTCAGCATGTTCACATGCACATGCAACGCAGATTCACATGCAAGGCACACATGCACATGCAAAGGAAAGCACACACACAAACAGACATCACATAAAAGAGATCAAGCTTTCACGTCGTCCCCACTGGTGTGCCGTTATGCCAAACTGCCCTGGCACACAAACCGCAAGGGCCTGGGGGAGATACGTGACAACACACAACATTACGCACTTGCCTTCACGTCCCATTGCATCTCGAGCACGCATGCTCTCTAACAGCATCCATTGACCCCCCACTACCCCATGGGAGTTGAACGCGTGCCATGCCCCATGCCCCATGCCCCATGCCCCATGCCCCATGCCCCATGCCCCATGCCCCATGCCCCATGCCCCATGCCCCATGCGCTATGCCCCATGCGCCATGCCCCATGGCCCATGGACGTGGCATCTCTGTGGCAGCAGCAAGGCACGTTTGGAAGAGAGATGAGGTGGTGCTGAGGGCTGAGGGAGCAGGTGGGCGGAAATAGGTGCAGAACCCTCACCTGCACGCCACGCCCTGAGGTTGGATGGCAGCGATGGCCTTAGCGGTGCCAGCAGTGTGTGTGTGTGCGTGTGTGCTTGGCATGGTCTCGCCTCACCTGCACGCCCTGAGGCTGGATGGCAGCGATGGCCTTAGCAGCGCCCAGCACAGCAGCAGCGCCGCCCATGTCGAACTTCATCAGGTGAATCATTGAACCCGGGCCCGCCTTCAGGTTGTACCCGCCACTGGTGGGTGCGATGGTGGAGAAGGGTGGGGAAGGGTGGGGAAGGGTGGGGGAGGGTGGGTACGAAGAAGAACTCGATGAGATGATGAGCCCTTTCCTGCCAGCCGCCTTTCATGGCCACTGGATGAGCTGATAGGAGCGAGGGGAGGGCAAGGTGAGGGACGCGGTGGTGGGAACGACAAGGCGCATGGATGACAGACAACACAGGGGGAGGGATGCGAGGATAGGCGATTTGGTGACAGTTTGAGCAGCTGCCTCATGGGAACACACGGGGCATGTAGCACGAAATGGGTGGAAGCACACAGTTATAGAAATGCCACAACAGGCATGGGGACCAAACGCATCCCCATGTATTGACAGCTCACTAATTACATGTCAAAAGTGAGCTGAAAATTGAGAACCATGCATACCTGTCGAAGGTGAGTCCCTTGCCGATCAGAGCCAGCTTCTTCAGCGGCTTCTCCTCGCTCCCTTCACCACCATCCCCAGCAGCAGGTGGTGTGTAAGTGACGTGGATGAACTTGGGCGGGTTGTCCGCCGCTGATGCCTCCGCCACTGCCAGGTACGACCCCATGCCCAGGGCGGCACATTCGTCCTTTTCCAAAATGCGCGCGCTCAGCACATCCGCGTGGGCGGCAGTCAGGTTCACCGCCACGTCAGCGAGGACAGCTGGCGTGAGCACATTGGGCGGTGCGTTGACGAGCTGCTTGGTGAGGATGATTCCCGCCGCCAGCCTCTCCGCCTCGAACACGTCCCTCTGCAGTGACTCCGCGTCACCCAGCCCCACCACTTGCAACTCCTTCACACCCCTCTCCGCCTTCGCCTTCTCCTTCTCCTCCGATTTAAACCGCACATCCTCGAAGCTGCCTACAATGGCGCCCGTCACTATCCCCCGAACCGCGCTCCCCGCTTTAATCTCCTGCCCCTCCGCCGCCTCTGGTTTGCCCAGGAATGCGAGGGATACCTTGCTGGCTTGATTCGTTTTAGCAGCGCTCGCTATAGTGGAACCTACTCCCTGCCACGAGCCGGCCTCCCCCTTTAGAAGCACATCCGGCTTTCCCAGCCCCAGCAGCGCGATTCTTTTGAACGGCTGCCCGGGAACGCGGAGGACTTGCGAAACCTGCCCGGGCTTCGCTCTGAAATCCGGGTCGGATGCCAGCTCAGCGAGAGCGCCGGAAAGCGTGGCGTCGAGAGACGCCAGCTCAGCACCGCCTGGTGCGTCAGTAGCGAAGCCAGTGAAATTGGCTGCTGACGTTTCGTCGCGAGAGAGGGCGGAGTCGAAGACAGCGAGGAGTAGCAGGTCGGAGGGGAGGGAGAGCGGCGGCGAGGCGGGATCGAAGGAGACGGACACCTGGCATAGACGAGGAGAAAGGGCGGTGAGGAATATGGCAGCCGGGATGAAATGTGAAGGGAAAGGAGGAAAGGGATGGGGAAGAGGAGAGAGGAAAGGGGACAGGAGTCGTTGCGGAGGGGAAGGGGGTGGAGGGGTGGGGAGAAACGAGTGAGAGTAATTGGAATGAATCAACAGAAGTGGCGCTATACCGAGGGCAGTGGCACTATACCGAGGGCAGTGGCACTATACCGAGGGCAGTGGCACTATACCGAAGGCAGTGGCACTATAACGAGGGCAGTGGCACAATACCGAGGGCAGTGGCACAATACCGAGGGCAGTGGCACTATACCGAGGGTAGTGGCACTATAACGAGGGAAGTGGCACAATACCGAGGGCAGGACGGCGTTCCCCGGGACGGTGAGGCCCACCACGCCTTCGCCGCGCACAGCCTGCGTCGCTACCGCCGACATGCCGCGCCTCCCCCCACGCTGACGCAAGGCGGGCTGCGCCGACTGGCGGAAGGCGGTGGACGCGGAAACCGCTGCTGGCGATGTGGCTGGAGACGGGGGTGGTGAGATAAAAATGTGCTGTTACCAAGCAGAAATTGCTCATGATGCAACGTATGATTTTACTGATCGGTAGAATGCCTGGTCTGTTTCTTGCTTTCCTGTTATGGTTCCGTAGAGCTTCTTGTGCAGCGAATTCTTCCAACATATGGAATTTTGCACGACAGCCGACATAAGGACCCTAAAATTTGAATGGGATTGCGAACGAAGAGATATGACAGCAACGGAAAGGATTACAATGAATCCATGTGTCGACCTCGCTCTACCTCTGCTCACCTGCGAACGGCAATCGGCACGCAGCCGGCGCAAGCGCCGTTCCCGCAAGCTCTGAATCAGCGAAGGATGCCGCTCCGCGCTGACTGACGCCGCCTGATAGGCTGCTTGCGGACACACCCACTCCGCCGACAGACAGAGACGCCGCGGCCATCCGTTGACGTGCGACTGACGATCGCGCAGCGGTAGCGGCACGGAGGAGGGAGTTAGGGGCGACCACTGCACGGACAACGCGTGCGATGCTGCTCATGGACGTTGGCAGAAGGGCAAGAGGAAATTAGAAGGTGCGAGTCACTGGGAAATGAAATTTGAAAAGGGTTGATCCCAAAAATGCTCGTCAGGGAACGACTCTGAGGGCGTGTTCTACGAGTTTGTTTTTAGTTCATGATGTTACTGGTAGCCCTTTGTAACCACACAATTTTGTCTATTGTTGGGCATGCGTCTTCCATGACGCGCGACAATGAGGCGCCAAATACGTCAACAGGTGTAAACACGTTCGGAAAAGGCTGGTTCTTGTTACTTTGCGGCTGGGGTCCAGAAACCAGCTTTGAGATTGGGGCCTTGCCGAATGTAAGGTACTTCAAAGTTGCTGGCAGTTGGAACGAATGTGAGTTGGGCGAAATTCAGTACCTCTCAACGGGACTTTGCGATCCGCACGAGAAGAGGTTACACAGTGTTAGCAACGACGTCATTGGTCGAAATCGCTCAAGCTGGTTTGCAGCGCCAAATCGTGCGTCACTGTCATTCGAACCTGGTCTCGAATATTGGTGTTAGAGCAGACATGCTGATGTGTAAATCTGCACCGTTGAAAATCTAACAGGTGGCGAGGAAAAAGTACTTTCTCCCGACAGGTAGCACAGTCCCCCTTTGAACACCTGGAGGTTGCCTTGATGACGCGGACGTTCGGAAGACTGCCATGATGTCACGCTGTTGGTGGTGATCATAGATGGGCCAAAACTTGTAACAATTACTTGGTGACTTCCTAACCAAGCTGGCTGTCATGGGCTGCGTTCTGTTGGCGCATTAGTTCTACGCGCATGACGCACAAGTAGTGCGCTCGGAGGCTTCCGCGCATGAGAGCACCCCCCTAAAATTACCACGAAGGTATGACCCAGGCGCGAGGTATCTGTGAGGCAGGCACCAGGTTGTTTACGAGGGGGCAGACCCAAAATTTTGGAAACCAGCACCACTGACCTAGGTTAAACTTTTGAGGCACGCAACATGAATGGGTACAAACAACCACCCAATCGGCATGCACCTCAAAACCCGTTGGGTTCAGAAACTAGCCAAAGTTGACTTTTCCCGGGCGTTTTCAGTTGCCCCGCATAGCTTGTGCGCCCCTTTTAACGCTGGGAGACGAGCGGATGGGACTCGCACAGGCTATGCGGGAGGTTTGCCTGTGAACGCAAGCTCCTGGAATATTCCGAGCGCACAGGCAGTACAGCGTTTTTGCGCACGCACAAGTAATGCGCGCACAACTTCCGAAGCAGAGGTTCGGGACACACTAACGATTCCCTCCGGCCCCAAGCCTTGTCGCGCAAGTTCCTCGTATATTCACAGTTAGGGTCACGCACAAGCTATGCGCCAACAGAACGCAGCCATGAATCAACTTGGAGAGTGCGCAGATAAACGAATAACGAGAATGTGAACAACAGAAAGACGATACAAAGAAAGTGTTGGGACTAAATAGGAAAAACCTAGCTAGGCGAAGAGGTCCAGCGATGGTGGCCCGTAAAGTGTTGCGATTGGTGCGGGGGCGACTCGGGTGTGGTTCGGTGCGGAATTGTAGGCCGAATCGGGCTGACGCGTGGTCCTCGGGTTGTACTCGCTAAAATGCGAGTATAGTAAGGAATTACAACTCCTTACACTCTCTCACCTCCTAAATAAGGCAGCCCCGTATTGAAACAGGCCCCACACTAGCGAGAACACCATTGATCTCCCTTTCAGCTGAATCCGACGGCTAAAATGGGTGGGAAGAATTTGAAGAAATGGTAATGTGAGCCGTTGATCGAGTAGGTGTAGATCTGATGGCTGCGGATGGTATTGACGAATTCGAATTAAAAGTTGGAATTAAAGCCGTTGATGAACTTTGAACTCGATCCAACGGTCGACGATGACGCAGGGCCGACGTTTCATTTTGGGCCTCCCTGATTTCGGGAAAAATTTTCTCCCTGGATTATAAGTGCATATTTTTTATAGGTTTGCTCTGATTGGTCAGTGTCCAACAACGACTTACTCCGATTTGTCAGGGTTCAGAGCAAGAAATCAGTGTTGCAGCAAATCACGCAAAATTTTCCCACTCCGATTGTACATTTCACACGCCTCACTTTCTGGCCGGTCAAATCCAACAGAAAACACAACCAAGATGGCAGTCGTGATTTTAGTGTATTAAAGTCACACAAAGCGTTGGGTCAGATCATGGTTCTGAAGTTTGCCGGCCATAAGATCTGGACAAGTATAGTACGCGAAAGTAGAAGTGTGACTTGGCACCACACAGCCACGAATATCGCCCACAATGTGCCACCCATGCGAACTGACTGCAAAGTGCCACCCAGAGTACAATGCACGTTTTTTTTTTTTTTTTTTTTTTTTTTTTTTTTTTTTTTTTTTTTTGCTTAATGAATCATACACTAGACAGAACAAGTGTACAACTCATAACAGTCGTAACTGTGCAGGGGAGACAGGAGAACCCGCCTCAGAAATATCCGATCCTTAGACATGGATCCGGGGCCTGCGTGGTTTGCCCCAAAGTGCCGCAAAGCTGTTGGACCACTTCCATCCAGAAGGCCATGTTCTTGTTTCGTCATTTTCTGCCACCTGGCGTGATGACCTTTCCCTCGTTACTGCATCCTCGTCACCGAGGCACGGATGTAAACATTCACATGCATGCGGAAAGCTGACTCAATCCTCCTCAGGACTCTCCGCGTGCGAAATTTACAGCCCCTGAAGGCACCTTCACACCTCTCCGCCCACAACTGATGAAGGGCAATCGCTATCAACGACGCCTCTGGGAATGCTGACATGGACCCTGCTTCACCGAACAGCCAATCACCGAGCGAGTCCCTTTTCCTGGCTGGGTTGATCAACTTCAGAGTTTTTTTGACCGCCGAAACCACCCCCTGAGTCCTCGGGCACTCTAAAAGGCAGTGTTCTAACGTCTCGAAACCGCCACAGTGGGGGCAGACTGGTTTGCTGCTGAGAAATTCCAGCCGCTCTCCCACTTGTAAATTAAGGAAATGGATGCGCAGTAAGACATCCCTCGGTCGGCTCGGGGTGACAAGTGATTCTCGGATTTGAATTGCCCGCTTCCAATCAATGATGTTCCCCCAACGGCTTGCCCATTTCTCCCGCCTATTCTTTCCGCTATCCCCGTGTTTCCAGTGGTTCCTGAGAGACTTCAATGGTACTGCTCTCCCCTCCGCCAACAGCTTCATCCGGAGCTGTAGAGGTCCCCTTCTTCCCAACTCAAACTCCTCCGCAAACCCCACGTTCGGAAGCTCGGCAGAGAGGAGCTGATTTCTCCAAGATTCCTGCGGCTTTGAGCGCAAGTTTTGCAGAATCCTTCCCTCTCAGCTCCCTCTCTAGGGTCTCACAGCTTTTCAACAGCCCTCTCCCTTCCGCATCTCTCCCGATAAGGTCACCCAGCCTGACATTGTGAAGCTGCTTTGCTGCTTTTTGACCCCCCACCGGTGTGGAACCATTCAAGAGGATATGTCTGTTGAACGTAATTCTCTCCAGCAGCAGCTCTTTCGTATCCCGCTTTTCCGTGGACTCCGCCAGCGGAGAACGCATGAAGTTCGCACATGCCAACATCCATCTTTGGCTTTTCCCCACCCATGTTTTAAGCAGCTTCTCATGTGCCATGAATATCTCTAGACCCCGCGGTAAATCAGCCGCCTGGCGCATCAGGTCCCTCTTCAGCTGATCCGTCTCCGTAAGTGTCAACGTTATCCTCCTGGCAGTCAAGCAGGTAAGCATCGCTTTCTGATTCATCGCCCCCACTCCTCCTTCCAGTACCGGCGTGAATAGAAGCTCCTTGCTCCAGAGGTGGAAACACTTCTCAGATGTAGCTTTGTTGGCTGACATGAAGTTGTGTGTCATCTTAGTGATCACCCCCCAGGTTTGCGCAGGAGGTGGGTAGACCTGCGCCTGAGACCACGCGATCGGTAGTATGTAACCATCCATCACAGCCGTCCGAGCCTTAATCGGGAAATACTGCGGCTGCCACAGCGACATCTTCGCGGCGATTTTCTGCAGCGCCTTATCCCATGTTGGTTGGCAGCTTCCACTCAGCGTGACCCATACCCCGAGGAGCCTTTCCGCTTCATTTTCCTCCACCCAGCGAAACCCAACCGAACGCCCAGACTTTTTCCCCGGGTTAGCTCCCAAGGGCATTGTTACGAATAGTACAATTTAATTGTTACTGAGCACTCCTCACCGCAGCAAAGAGAAGCACGCAGTATCGAAGCAAGAACGCGAACCGTCAGACGGTTGGAGATTGACTCGAAGCGTCAGACAGTTGGGGCGCATCTGGACCGTCGGAGCAGACGGCATCGGGCAGCTGCAGGCAGGATGGTTTCGGCGGGAACAGTTTCGTAACTGTACGCGCCGCACGGTTGGGAATGTATTTGAATAAGGGAATGTACCCCTTAGAGTACATGGCTAGTTAGGTCGCTTCGTATTCCCCTGTACTCTTATTTATATCGTTGTATTTGCATGTTTTTATTATCTCAAAGCATTTTACATTCACTCTGCTATTGAGGTCAAGGGCCTACCAACTATCTACCTACGTGCGAACCTTCCCGAGTAGATCCTGGTAAGCGATCATTCTCTGATCGTAGCATGGTATGAGAGCGGCTCGGGAATCCTTCGCAACACCACTCCCGAAAATTGCGACATTCGGAAAGTGGCGACCGGCACACGCTCGCGTGTGAGAATGGCCGGAGGATCTGGTGGTCAGACTAATCTAACGGCTGAAGCGCGCACCAATCCAGTTGCGACAAGCGAGGAAACGACTACGATCGGCACCGAAGTCCTCGCACAACTTCTTCAGCGACTCACCAGCCTGGAGCAAGGGCTCCAAACATTGCGGAACAGCGATGCGGGAACATCCTCGCAACCATCTCAACCGGCCCCAACTGGGCAGAACGCCGT